TTCCAATGCTGTCCCATGTGAGCCCAGCTGAGGGAAAATTGAATTAACTGTGAATTGCTCATGCTTGGGGAATGGGGAAGAAAAAAAGGGGGATGTAGGAGAGAGGACAGACAGAGAGTAAGTAGAAGGAGGAGGGTTTGGCTTGCTGTACTTTTGGCAGAGTTTCTGGTCTCTCTGGGTTCGGTTGGTTTCATAGCGGAGCTCTGGTTTCAGCAGCTGCTAGCTAATGACGCTAACTCAGAGATCCTATACTCGTGTTTTCGAGCCCTGCATGACTTAGCTTAACAGAAAACGCATTACACACTTGTGAAATGAGATGCAGATGCCCTCAAGGATCCGAGGGACGGGACTATTAAAACAATCACAAACATCTGCTAACACATGTTCAACCACAGTCGTGGTTCAGCTTCTAGAACTTCTATGAGGTGAAGAATGACGAGAATAAATAGGTTTATTCCAGATTTTAGGGAAATTGGCACTTTTGTAACCACAGGGACCAAAGTCATCTTTGTGGCTATGGCAAATTATTGCCTTCAGCTGCCACTTAAATTACTTCTTAATAGTAGAGTAATCCAATATGTCCGTTTCTAGCTTGCTAGCTTGTACTCTAAGGATTTTTCTAAAGCTTTTGTAGCCATGCGTGCTAATTTTTGACTTTATGTAATCACTGAACATCTAAACATGTTGGGCACATACGCTGTAATATAAGCAGCATTAGATCACATGTGAATTATCTGTCAGCCATGCTGTGTGACTTTTTAGGTCTTGTTTGGACATGTTATTCCTCTTCCCCCCCTGATTTTCCTGATAAGGAACATGGGACTTTATCTAACACAGAGTTGGTAGATGTTTTAAATGTCTCCAGCTGTAAAAAAATATTTCCTACACACAGAATCCCAGTGATTAGCAGTACATTTCTGCCAATCCTCATTCCTGTGGTGTCAAATACAGGCCGCAAGTATCCAAAAGATGAGCACAAAGGGTTCCTTTTGCATCTGCGCCAGGACACATGAGAGTAATGGCAATGGTAGGATGGGTCTCACTTCCAACTTGTCACATATGGACACTTGTTTATGGTCTCTTGGAATCATATTTTAGCACACTGTGTAACATTAGGCTTCATGGTTTGCCATGCAGCCTAAATGTTGTGAGGGAGAGAGATAACGCAAATCTGTGATCCTTTTCTAACCTCATAGTTGCACTGAATATACAAGAAAAGAAGAAAGAAAAGTAAAAAGCAAGTCAATATAAACCCATGTGCTAAAATCTTTAGCTTTATAATCAGATACAGTGTTTATGTGAAACACATTGTAGTTTTATCTAAATTTATTAACTAATAATAAGTCCTTTGTAATTGTTGACTGTACTCTTTAAGTCTGAGTCATATCTGGAAGTCCAGTAAATGCCTTTCCTTTGATGAAATGTGCTCATCTTTTTTCTTTTTTTTTAAATCTCTGTGGAGGTATTTGTTCCTCTTGAGCACAGAGGTAAAAGATCATACACACAGAACAGAATCTGCCATGCTGCCGCCCGTAACTTCAGATTAGGCCTTGTCAGGGTTTCGGGGTCGCTACGGATACAACCCAGATGCTGCAGCTATGCAGCAGTGTGTCGCTGTGGAAACGGGAAGTGTTGACTGCTGAGAGATAAAAGGCTTGATTCTTCCCCCCGCTGAACACAGCCCAGAAAGGCAGAAACATGGTTAGACTGAAGAGAGAAAAATGAACACACCACACTCATCGTATTGGTGCATGAGTTGTGTAAGTGAAAAGAAGAGCCTTTTTCTCAAAGTCTGTCACACTCCCACACAGTTCCTTTTTTCTGTCTCCTTCTGCTGTCACTTCATCGCTCCTTAATCATTAATATCACAGCTCTGACCCCAGCCAATGAGGATGAAGCAGGGATTTGCATAATTAGCCCCACTTGGTGGACAAGCCCCACTCCAGACCTTATGAGAGCGTCTCTAGTGTGCTTGCTCAATTTGACATGTAGGAGGCCGCATACAGTTAAGAGGGGGGAAAGTGCCAAACAGATGACACGTACATGCTGTAGGTTTCCTGATACAGGAGTGTTGCCTCGAGATGAAAAGAAGACGTTATCGTATTGCTTTTGACGCAGCATTGTTAGAGCCAAGATGTCAAGTGAATGACAACTTTCGAGAAATTGGAATTAAATTTCTCAGAGCATTAAATGTTGTTCAGTTCCTGGGTGTGCTTCTTACACTTTAGTCCTTCCTAATCAACAAAGACATCACAGACTCTTGGCCAAATATAAGCTTGATATTTTACATTTAGAAACGAGCCGGTAGAGCAATTTGGTTTTAATTGTGTTGTATAAATAAAACTTACTTTCTTATATTTACCCACAAATCCATTGCAAGTGTAATACAAAATATTATTTATGCATTCACTGTTAACTTAGTACCATAAATGGAAAATGGATTTAAATGGTATTTAATAATGAGGTTAACGTACAGAAGAGGATGTGTTGTTGTTTTTTTAAATTAGTATTTTAATGTCACGTGATTCAAGTCATCACATTCTGAGATATAGATATTTTTTAAGCTTATGTGACAGCCTCAGTTTTTAAAAAGAACTACGTCTCTCAAATTAATGAATTAAGCCAAAGTGGATTTGGTTTAAGTTGTCTTCTTTATACTTACTTTATTTATTAACCTTTATTTCACCAGGAAGATCCCATTGAGATTAAAAACCTCTTTTTCAAGGGAGACCTTATTTGCTATTACTTCCTAATAGCAAATAAAAGATACAGGAAACAAACTGCACCCCAAACCAAGAACTGTATGAAATATACGCACGGCGGAGACAATGATGTGAAGAGAAGTCAAGTTTCATTATTCAGTGCATCTAAATAAATTTAACAGATATTATAACCAAGAGGCACAGTGAAAATCTTTTCCAGATCTCTTGTCCTCCCTTGACCCATCACTGTAAAGTTAGATGAACCACAAAGGCGACTGACATTTCTGGGGAGGTTGCAGTGGACAGTCATTTCACCGAAGGTTCTTGGCTGTAAATGTCGCTATGTCATTTATCTGACAAATGTAGTTCCCTTGACATTTATTGCATAACTTTTTATTGATAAAAACCCTTTCTGCCCCAAGCAAATGTTCAGGATTTTTCAAGAGTACTGAGCAACTTATAAAAACTTCAGGCTTAACCCCTGAGATGACTACATGGAAGTGAAACAGAACAAAGAAACATGGGACAGATTTCCAGAATTAAACCCAATTATGATTAGTGATTGGTTATAGCATTAGGGTGGCTTTTGTTGTGATTTGGCGTTATATAAATAACATTTAATTGAATTATAGCTTACTTGAGCATTTTTAAAAAATCTTATTATCATGTAGCTCAAGCAAGACTATTTTTGGTATAAAGTACCCAAAACAAACAAAAATAACACTGAACATCTGATCTTCTACGTGTTATCTTTTTAAATTGAAATGTACCTCTAAATCAACTAAACCTTTTCTCAGTGATATATATATATATATATATATATATATATATAAGGGAGTAACATATTGGTTTATCCTCACATTTATTCAACATTTATCCTCACTGAAAAGGGAACATTATGCATGTATTTTTCCTTGCATGCAATTACTGCGAAAAGCAGTCATTTACTTTTGGTTCAGTAAAATGACAAGGTTGTGCTTTACAGCTTTTTATTTGATCAATAAAAAGCTGACCAAGCTCTGACCACATCTGTTTCTAATGAAATAGGGATTGTTATCGATTTAGCAGCCCAATGCACTCATGGGGTCACAGATTTACTAGTCTAATGTGAATATAAGAGATAGAAAAATAGAAAAAAATGCAACATGAGGAACAACGTAGGACGACTATTTAAGAAAGAATATGCCAAACATTTTTGCAAGCCTAACTAATAAGCTGTACCATTTCAAAATCATTGAAATTGAATCTAGGCGCTGTGTAGTACCTAAGAAGATTAGGACTGCAATCGCATAAATCCATCTTGTTAAACAAAACTAAATATCTTTTGTCTTTCAGATGAATTTAAAGGAATATGCATTTATGGAAAGATACTACATTATTGTTTTTATTGTTAATATTAGAGATCTAACCTTTTAGCAGTGAAATTCCTGGTACTTAAAGCAGAGCAGAGCGGATGAAGGAAGGGACAAATGTATGGATAAAAGGACAGATGGATGTGACAGAGAGTAAATGTGCAGAAGAATACCATTAAAGAAGGCAGCACTGCAAGAGCACGTCCAGACAGAGTGGTCTGAAGCCCAGGGGATGTCAGCTTTTATCACACCCCCACACACAGAAACACACATTCAAAGCAAAGCACTGCTCTTCCGCTTGACAATTCCCCACACCATTAGCTCTCGTAAAGATTTCTTTATTGGTATATGTCATGCTCTGAGTTTTCCTAGAAAACAGCAGTCGCTGGTTACGAAGTAATAGCCTTAATCAGCAGCTGGCGCCATGCCTGAACCTGGCCTCGTGGCTTAATCATCGCTGTTTCGTTTTCTCCATGGATACAGAGGAGAAGCCCCAAAACACTCCCGCTTTATGACAACATGCCCCAAAAAGTAGGAAAAATGAGACACTGTGTTGTTGAGAAGAATTAAGCTGTTATGTAAGTTGAAAACAGACAAGAGTCTGCTGATACACAAGAATCACATTAGGCTGATCGCATCTTGTTTCACTTCACTCTGACACAGCTGGTGTGTGAGACAAGAAAGAGAGACAGGCCTAGAAAGTAGAGCTGAGTGTGACGGGATGAAGCCACTAAAACGGAAGGCAAAGCAAGACAGTCAAGGCAAAGTTATTTCTCAACAAAGGCATTTTTTTAAGAAGGCGCATTTCCAATAAAGTCCAGGCAAATGACACAAAACTGAACGGAGAGCCTTTTGGAAATTTCAGAGAGGGAAGGTAATCTGTGGCAAGGCATAAAGGGAATTTACGTGGGCGCTTAAGTCCAGCTGTGCTGTCTGTCTCTTTGTGTCTGCTAAAGATTTAAACAGCAGGAAACCCAATGCATAAGGCCTGTGCAGCTTTCTTAGTATGAATGTATTAAGCTAAAACTGCCAGGCTAACAACCAACACGAGGCAGGGATTAAGCAGGGCATCGTCCCTGCTCCGCTCTAATAGGGTTCAAGAGAAAGAAGCTCTGAGAGCTCCAATTGACCCATGGTAACCCAAGCACTTCATGATCTTTCTTCTTGTCTTGAATATAATACTTGATTAAGCTCTCAGGACCAAAACGTTGTACAGTTAAATATTTCAAAAAAAGGGAAAAAGAAGAAGGGAAAAATCTTACCAGAGCATGCCTTTCACAAGCTCGGGGAGGCTGGGGTTGTAAACATTGATTTATAGGCACTCCTAGTGCAACGATGGCATGTTTAACAGTAAACTGTAGATTTATGATGCTGCTAAATATGCCTGGGCGGATGTGAACATTTGAGACTTAACACCTGCTATTGCAGGCCTGCTTTAGAACAGAGAGGTCACGTATAGACCTGGCACATTCAATGCTTTAGTCATAACATTATATCAAAAAGCTGAAGGCTGCCAAATAGTGGAAATCTCACAGATGGTGAGAAACGGAGCAGCCGTATCCTTAGGAATTTGTCTTATATAAGGCAGATATGTGCTATGAGATATAAGTTAGCATGAGCACACGCAGTGCCAATGTTTGTACAAATCATCACTAATTTTTACCCCCTTTTTTGTAGAAGTGCTGGCTTTGGTGTTAGGCTTATGATGCTCACCTGTGATCCTCCTCTTCTATACATACTATAGATATAACTATGACTCCTATTGGGCAAAGTGAATGATATCAAAAATGCTAAATGCTAATGCGTATCAGCAAAATTCAGACACCATATGTGCTGACACTGATATATCCGCAAAAGGCCAATATCAGTGAGTGGATCTATTAGTTAGGCTATATTTAAAATTACTCAAAACTGCCATAGAGTGTTTTATGGTTATACAAACTAAAAGTGCATCGTATGCCCAGGTTAACAATACACCAGAGTTTAACTTTGGTACATGAATGAATTTGTTGGTTGAACTGTATTACATTGTCGAACCAGGTATTGTGTAAGGCTGTAGAACATGTTTTGTATTCACGATTCAGTAGTGCTTCAAATTCATCCAAGCCTAAAGAAGAAATCTTGCTGTTACCTCATAGCATTGTCAAGACAAATTAACTTCTCTATTTCCAGGGAAGGCATTCAGGGTTACTGTAACCCTGAATGCCTTCATCCATTTATTCTGTTGCTCAGTCTGTTCAACATCTGTAACTCTCAGCAACACTTCCATCCCAGCTGCTGCGGACTCAGGTTGAGAGACTGCCGTGGATCAAATGTGGAAGTGGAGCGTGAATGGTGGAGAGCTTGAGGGTAAAGTCCTAAGTGCCTGTACCTCTCCTCTAAGTCTCATTCTCCTACTGCTACAGTCATTTTGAGCCGATCAACCTGTGAAAGAGTGTGAAATAGCAGCCCTGGGATCTCATCCATCAAATCTACCTGGAAGACCAAGGCACGACGGAGAAAAGTAACCACATTCAAAACTGTAACTGTAAAAACAATGAAAGAGCCAGGTTTTTATCTTTGCAGAGCTACTATCAAGTTAAAGATGTCCATCGTGGATCAGATCACCGGATGCCAATTCAGGCTGACAGATCACGGTAGAGTGCTGCCATCAGCACGAGTCTGTTTGTGAGATTAATGGCGATGAGCTTGAAAACAAGGCCTAAAATTGGTTCATGTCATGTTTCCCTGTTTAATGCTGCTGCACTGAGCTCATAGTGCTAGTCTTCTCCACAGCCCTCTCCATCCCGAAGAGCTTTAATCTCCCAGTGGGCCTCTGGGCGACCCATCCAACATATTTGCATACATCTGCATATTTCCCATTAGGCTCCACTTGTTGCCTTTTCATGGAAAACTGGGCTATGGCGATGATCACCCTCAACAGTAATGGTGGTATCCTTCTTTGCCTCTTTCTTTTTTTTTTTCTCCCAAACATTTTTTACACTCCCTCTTGATCCCTTGTTTCCACTCTCTCTCTGTCTGCCTCTCTGTCATCACTGTGATCAGAGTGCAGTATGGAGGTCTGATCCGGAGACAAAGGGAGAAGCTCTCAGTTAAATCAGCGGCGGCTAGCTATAGTAAACCATCTGGGGCCAATGACAGGCTCTGGCCTGAGAGAACACAATAACAAGACAGAAGAAATGAATTCAGCACACAATGACCACGACTGAACCAGACTAATTAGATTAATATGTGATCAACTATTCAATTAGGCCCATTCAGCTGCAGAGCTCAAGAGGTATGGGTACATGCAAATTAGATGAGCGAGCACAAATTGAGGAATGAATTGATAAAGTGTGTTAACAATGTCTATACGTACACTGAGTTATTCATTCATGTATACTTACAGGGGAGTGATCATTACACGTCTTTTACAACTGTCACCAAGTATAATGGCAACACATCACTTTAAAAGGCCATTCGCTGATGAGCAACTTCCTGAGCTAAAGAAAAGTCAAGCTTAGTTTCAAACATGTTTTCTAGCTAATGCCATCCAGTTCTTAATTTTCTTCAATGCATCTGTATTTCTCAGATTTCTGCCAAAAAGGGGGATAACAGAGTTTGAAGTGAGTGCGTGAACTCCACAGAATGTACTGTGGTAAAGAGCACTACACTGATCAGGTTTTCTAAAAATCCTAATCAGACTTGTTCCATTATTTTCACCAACGCCCTCTCATCAACTCATGGTTTGCCTTGTTATTTGGTGGAGCAACTCTGGCCTTAACCATTTAGCCCTTTTCAGAGTCACTCAGGTCTTTTTTGCTGCTTAATTTCTCTTCAATCCAACAAGCTGATTATATAAATTGACTATGTAGCTGATCCTTCACATGCTGCTAAATAATTACTCTCTAATAGTTCTCTGTTAGAGAACATTATTCCCTAGTTGTGTGCCAGTGTCAGCAGACAAAACTAGAGCTGACTAGTGATGAGTCACTAAGTACAGTTAACAACAGTTAATAAGTCATCCTAATTGACAAAGACAAAGAGACTTCTTTTGCTAGAATCTATTAGCAATTTTAGTGGTTCTGATTTTTACAAAATTGTTACAAACAAATAAAACATTGGAAATAAACAGTGCCCCAATTACTCCGGATACCGTGACAGCAGTTTCTAATGGAGTTACTTCCTGTAAAAATAGCTTCATTTCCTTTTTGAATGCTGGTGGTCTAAGAAATGTGGGTTGGAGTTAAGATCACAGCAACTGTGTCCTACACGTAATTTATTATTAATGTTGTAACTGTCTGTGATTCTGAGCATTTTTGATGATAATACACTCATTTTAAAATATTAGAGAGTGGCAGGTATTTCAAATTTCGCTTTAGATAGGCTCTATTTAATCTTTTGGAAAGCTCAATCTGTGTGGACATTAGAAGGGATCACTAAAGGATGGCCACAGAGTACTAGACGTCTCTATCTTTATGCCACCACTTGGTATTAAAAAACCCCACCGTGCTAGTTACAATTTCTATGCTGATGATACACATTTATATTTCTTCTCTGACACCATGACCATTGCTGATAAGTGGAAGGGATCACATTTCCCTATTAAATCGAGAAAAATAGTATTATCAGTGGTCAGAACTCATCTCGGGACGTCCTCGTCTCCTCTTATCTGTGTTTTTGTTGAAGAAAACCTCAGTTTTCAGATATTTTTCAAGCATGTTTTTTAATTTTACTAGCCAGCAGCACTTGCTAGGTTCACTAATTCACTAACTCGTATTTTTGTTCTTTGGGAGCTACATTTTCATTTTATAAGACAAAGTAATCAATTACAGGCACTATGAGCATCATTATGCATATGCATGACAACACATTCCAGTTAGACCAAAGTAGCAACGCTGTAAAAACTGTTTAGTAAATTGTATTTACAAACAACAACATCATCCACGTACATGTAACGTAATGCTGCTGTTCCTTTTAAAATCAGTACACATATTATATATGTAATTTCTGTAATATACGTAATTTCAGTGTTTTACACGATAATTTCTATTATTTTATATTATTAAAAAAATTTTTTTCTTACCTTGCTCAACAAAAACAACAAACCAAATAGAAGAGAAAGGATTTACTGTTTTTAAAACTGAATCTAAATTAGAATTGTAAGTTTAATTGTCACTTTTAAGGATTGTAGGCTATCCACTCTTTATGCTGGTGACTCCTTGTTATTCCTTAAAATAACAAGGAGCCTTAAACCTGGCTTCATGTCTTAAAAGTGGCTAATTGTATGACAACCTGCCAGAATTGTTGCTCATCTTTTAATTGTATATGGAATCATTTTGATGCTTGTTCTGAAAAGCTCCAAATAAATACACGTGATTGTTACTATTGCATGTGGTATGACTAGACTTTACTTGGGGTACATGGGGAAATCTGTTTGTATTATTTATGTGTGCCATGTTCAATAAGCATATGCAAAAATGCCACGGCATAAGTGATTTCTTTTCAAAGCAAGAGTAACTAGAAGTCATATTTAGCACCACCTGTTGGCGCTATGTTTTCTGATTAAAACATGATTGGAAATGCTTTATTAGCTTACTATAACAGGATGAGTGCCATGCTTTCAAAAGGAAAGCACACTAAAGAAAGTGCCATTTACCAAAAACCTCAGCATCACCTTTCCCTTGCTGCTTAATTTTCTGTGGGGTGCTAATCAAGCGCCTGTCTCTGCTCATGAATTTAGAGGGAAACCTCAAGCATTTAAATGTGCATTTAATTGCGTTGGTTCTGGAAGCGTCGTTAAGTAAGAGCTGGGAAATACATTTCTTAATGCGACTTAGTGATGCCCGGCAAATCAAAGACCATCAAGCGAATTAATGAGGGTGAGCGGTGAGCACATTAAGAGTAGAGACGGAGCGCTTCCATAAACAAATACATATCTCTCAACTAGACAGCAGGGACAGAGGGATAATGTGGGAGACATAATAAATAGACTTCCCTGTCTATAGGCACGGCACACTATCCATTCCAGCACAATGTTCCCCACTTTAATTGAGTAAATGCACACATGTAGACACATACACCTTTTCTTCTGCTATGTTTTTAAAAGGCCGACAGATGCTTCTTCAGCAGCAATCCTTTGCTCCTCAATAGAGCTGAAAAAGCTTCTAAAGAAGAAGAAGAAGAGCAGGCAGGAGGTGAGGGGTAGCGGCAGTGGTGGGGACGAAGCAGAGATGAAAAAGAGGAGAACCAGAAATATGAAACCTTCCTGGTTATTAAAAGCTGTCTTGCGAGGGCAGCGCTCCTGTCGTTAAGTACTCTTTCAATTATTAACGGAGCCGCCGCTTTCATCAGCTGGTTGGCGAATGCCAATACAGCCCCAACACACACTCCCACTGCTTGCTTTCTTCTCTTTTTTACTTGGCAACAGGCAAATACACACACACACACACACACACACACACACACACACACACACACACACACACACACACACCAGGCATTCAGCGGTAATTGTTGGAGAGCTGGTGAGAGGACAGGTCAGGCAGTGAGAATGATTACATAAAACTGGATGTTTTGAGACTGTCTGAGAGCTCTGCAGCATGAACAGATGGCCACAGACAAAGAAAATAACTTTATCATCAAGAAGAAATTCAGAAATTACAGTCACTGAATTATTTTTTTTCAACCTGAGCGAGCCAGCCTCTGGGGGGAGCTGCAGGTATACACTGGTGGCCAACCAGCACTCAGGTCAGGCCCAATTTGGGGTATTTTTCTAAACTGTCAAGTGCCCGTCAAGCTTTGGCAATAAAGGAGAGGCGATAAGGAGAGAGATTTGAGATAGTTGGGATTGAGCTGTGGGCAATAAGAGGGAAGGAGGAAGCTTTTAGGGTGTTATCCAGGCTCTCTGTTTGCAGCTCCAAATGTTCCTGTGCCTCTGATGAGACGGGCTCATATGACAGATTACCAGCACAAATGCTGCTCGAGGGAAAGCTGGCACAGGGGCAGAGCCAAACACAACACCAAAAGATATACAACTGTGTTCGCTCGAGTATGGTGCGAAAGGCCGCAGAATGATTTTCACGCCTGATGAAGGAACGAACGTTATAAGGTGTTTTAGGATCTCATCTTACACATTATCAGATACTAAAAATATTTGCCAAAACATTTTGTCATAATTTTCTCAGCTAAAATTCAAGAGTGGTCTTTGCTTAAAGAAAACTAAAAGGAAAAATGATCCGTCCATAAACATCTAAACCTCTAAGCCCCGCCCGCCTACTATACAAACCTTCTGTTTGGCAGGGGCAGCCAAAGAAAGGACAACATGCTTAAAGGGGACAAGAGGGGACTTGGTACAGGATTAGTCTGAGATGTATGGCATTCAAAGGCATACTAGGTCATCTTTAACCACTTGCAGTGAAACATTTCCACTACACATTTACCAACTTGTTTTTAAGGGATAATCTTTAAGGTTTCAGTTACAGACAGACAGGATTAAACACGACAGAAATGCCTTTGCGGTGTGTGCGGTATGATTATTCCTTCGGTGAGAAAAAATGGGCAGATTAGGTTTTGTTGCTATTTTTTGTGGGTCTATTTTGGACTCTGTTTTGAAGTGATGCCCAGTCATTTTGCCTATTGAAAGTTAGCAGAGTAGGGAACGTTGGACTGATGGTGGGGGGAACACGGCTTATCGACCATGGCCGGGTGCGTTTCTACTCTGGAGATGGGACACAGGGCACTGGGGCGTGCTGACGAACATCCCCTGGGACTCCTGTCCAATTACAGCTCAAAATGAGCCAGGAGAGCAGCGAGATTGGGCTGGGCGCACCAAGGTGATGATGGAAGGAGGGAGGGGGCTGAGAAATGGAAAGTAAGGGGGCCAAGGATATGAGTAGCACTTGAAATTAATGGGGCAGGGTGGAACAGGACTCCCAAGAGCGAGTGCAGGGCCCACTGATGACATGAACTTCACCCTCAAGCAGCCATTAGGGGGCGAGAGGTTCCAGTAATCTCAGAATTCAGAGGCTCAGAAGGTTCCCCAGATTTGATCACTGCTTCTGGGCTAAGCTGGTGTCGCGAATGGCCTCAACGTGAAGCAGCAGCAAGTTAACTGTGCATGACACTATTAGAGTGAGTCAGACACCTCTGAAACCATGATCGCATAACTAAACTGGGAATTTTTGGTTGCAATCCAGATTTCATTCTGGCCCACATCACATAAAAACTGACAAATTGAAAAATTTCAGCAAAGATTTTAATAGAAGCTGGCGTTCAGAGGGCTTTCATTTGAAATGTCATATTTGGACGACTCTGCTCCGAGAGCTATTAAGCAGAAATGTGTTCGTCTATAAAAGAGCTCTTCTGTGTGTGATTGCCATTTAATAGCCGGCCATACGTTCATGCTCCAGTCTTGCTTTAATGTTGCAGCGCACTGGGGACTGTCAGCGAGCGAGGGGGGAGAAGAACCCAGGGCCTTGAAACATCTCATCCAAATTACCGTCATCTTCCAAAGCGCAGTGTCGAGGGGAGGAGATGAAATGCTGTCATAATGTTACTGTGGTGGAGCTCATTGCCTTCGCATTCAGTGTGCATGGCCACAAGATATGACACAGACAAGACTAATAGCAGCAGGAGAATTACAACAATAAATCTACTTTTGATTACATATTCAGTGCTGATTTGATTAACATTTAAATAACGCCCTGATTTGATTCTAATTCTAATTCACGATGCCAACATTGCTTTTCAAAGGCTTCCTCAATGGCAAAAGATATCAGCTCGTATCACTTGCGATCCAAAAATAACCCACTATCAGTTATATCCTCTCAGTAACAAAGTGGCACAGACAAGTGCTCTCTGTTTGACACACAAAGAAAACATGACTGTCACAGAGCTGAGAGAGGGAGACGGGAGGAGGGAGAGAGAGGGAGGAAGGGAGAGGTAGAGAGGCACATTTAAAGTTTTGCCAGGAGTCAGCGGTGCTTTTAATACATACAGTCACATCAATGGCACATTAAGAAAGTGTAACCACGGCAACAGACACCGGGATTATGTTAAACAGAAGCACACAAAAGACCTAAAGATGCTTTGTTTAAAACAGTGGCAATGGTTTGAAAAGAAAAAGATGAAAACAAAAAAGTAGCAAGTGAAGATAAAAATATATATATATATAAATATAGTGAAGGTTGAAAGGGCAGAATTTTCACCTCTTGATTATTTCATGAGTAGCTGTATTAATCACATTGGGAGGACATAAATATTCAATTCAATTCAATTTTTTTATTTTTAAAATATAGTGCCAATTCACAACAACAGTCGCCTCAAGGCACTTTATAAAGTAAGACAAAAAAAAAGACAGCAACATTTAAGTGAAGTACACGTGTTCTGGGGCAAAAAGCGAACCTTTACAATCCCAATCCTCACATTTATTGATTAAAACTAGATATCTGGGCTTTATCAACTATTGGTTATAATTACAATCATTCAGTGAACTGACTTTCTCTACTTAAAAGTAGTATTTGGCTCATAATCATCATCCACAGGTCCTATTTTGAAGTCTTGTGATTAGTGCTCTCACAGATCACTTGGTTTCAAAAAACAAAATGTTACTGTTTCCTCATTAGCTAAATGTACAAATTTTGTAAGATAAGATAAATCATTAGCTATTGAGCATACCACATATAAGCTTCCTTTTATAAACACAGAATAAACGAGATTTACCAAACTGCGTCTGCAGACATATTAGCAAAGTGTTTACAGAGGTCAAGTTAGAAACCTTCATGACCTCTACTCATAGACTTCTTAGGCCCTTTTTAACTACAGGTTTCGCCCTCACTTTTGGGACCTAACGATGTCCATGTACTATATTATATTTTACTACATTAGGAGCAATTTATCCTTGTTAACAGCCGAGCTAACATTAGCTAAATGCTCATAATTATAGCCAAGCAATTTACTGGTGGTCTACCTGCTAACATGGACAAGTTGATAAACGTCCGATATAGCAGCTAACTACTCGAGGTGAAAGTTCCTTTTATAAAGATTTTCTATTCAGAAAACAGCTTTATTAGTTTACTATTGCCGGAAAAAATAGACTTACTTATTTTTAAGCTAACAGCATTGTAGCTACAGCAGAGCCAAGAGTGTTAGTGAGGCAAGGTGTTCGAAATTAAGAAAAAAGTTCACTACTCTTGATTCATCCCACGCCTTCACACATTAATCTATCCACAGGCTGTTAGAGGCCTAAGTAAATGTGGAAAGGTCTCATTTTTTCAGAGAGATTATATGCTGGCGATAAATATGTGTTTAAAACAAGAAAAATACTGTATGGTTGACTTTTAGATGACAAAACACATTTTATTTAATATATGTATACACAATATATCATAAAATGAAAAAAAATTCTAAAGGGAAAAGGTAACATTTCTATTTGATATGCATATCTGTTCTACACACAGACGCACACAGTATGAGGTGTAATATAATGACCAGGATGGCTCTGGGGCTCTTTCTTCAGTCATCTGACTGTGAGAATAACATTAGGCAACAGTCCACTCCAATAAAAACACGCAGTTTCTGCAGCTGCAGTAACAGTGTCTCGTTTCCTTTATCTCTCCTCCTCTTTACCATCAGCTCCCCCACCCTCACACCCCCATGACATTTCCATCTCCGTCCAATTTTTTGGTCTTCAAGAGCCAAATTCATCCAGGTCAAGCAAAACTAAGGCAGCTTGGTGCTCAGCAGCTCAGTGCTTTAAAACTTGTTGCAGTCAAGTGAGTCAGTATTCTTCACTGAATAGTGCAGTGGGTGGACAACATAAAAAGAACAGAGACGTTCAGCTTCAGCTGTGTGGTTAGGTTTATTTTTAAAGCTGCACTTTGTAGCTTTGAGGTGTTTCTAATATTTGTCAAACCCTACATACAGCCAGTGAACTGAAGTTAAAGTTGTTGTAAAAATGTCTTGTTAAGGCCCATTAAATAATCAATGAGTTACCTCAGAGCCAACTGACTGCCAAAGATAACAATGTCATGTCCCCATAAGCTAGCCAATAATAGCACAGTTCCAACAGAAATGTGTCACAATGCAAAATGTTGCAATAGGAATGCTGCCCCCCCCCTTCCTTTTTTCAGTTAGAAATGTCTTTTGATGATTGTGAATTTCTTGAAACTCCAACAGTGAGTTTTGAAAGCCTAAAATTTCCATTCTTGAAGTCCACAGAGCAAAGGGCTCCCAAACAGTCTTACTGCACCATGAAATTCTGCGGCTTTAATGCTAAAGCCACTGCCCTAATTCCCAATAGTCATATGTTGCAATAATATTCCAAATTAAAAATGGCATTTCTGTCTAAAGTTAGATAATTCATATCTAACATACCGTAAGTGTTTTAGTGCCACATGACACAAAAGCATTCTGCTGTGGCTGCATGGCAAAATGCTGTAAAATTGTGTGCAAAATAACGGGATTAACGACAACACTAGCAAACACTTTGATTTTAATCTGAGTCAGGTATAACACTGTTTTCATTTTCTCTTCATTTTGACCATTCGACATGAGAGCTTTGCAATTATCTCAGCAATAACAAGAACTCTTATATTAACATAAACATAAACCAATCAGCCAGAACGTTAAAATGTCTGACAAGTCTAGTGAAGAACATTAATTCCTTCACAAAAAGGTAGCATTTTTCTTGGGTCCTGGTATTCAAGTGGTATTCCCCAATGGCAGTTGCCTCCCGCAGCAGGAAAGTGTACCCAGCTACTCGGAAACTGTGCTAGGAACCCAACAAATAGCCTGAGGCACTGACGTGGGATCACCGACTTTAAGGACCCAATATCTGGAGGTCTCCCCAAGGGACCCGCTCTAAAACAGAGTCAATGATAAGTCGAACTTGGAGAAAAAAGGTACGACTTGGTGACAGAATAATTATAATAATAACAATTAGCAATTTCTGCTTATCCATTTGGGAAAAGGGTTTTACCTGAACTGAACATAATTTGGACGTAACTCAATAGGGATCCCAGTTAAAGTCTAAGATAGCAAGAAGGGGATGGATGTCTCGAGAATTCCAATGGCCCCCAAAATTGGAATCTAAATACTACTGGGCAAAGGTGAAAGACATTCCAGTCTTAAATTGTTGGTTGTACATGAATGTTTGTGTAGCTTATTGGGCAATTCAACGAAGATCCCTGCAGACATAGAACTGGAAACCTTGAAATGGCCTTAAATATTTGTGGAAGTATTTAAATAAAAGTGATCACTAAAACACAAAACATGAGGTAGAAATATATTTTAGTACATCCATCTGCTTTAAGCTCTTGACATCAATGGGGTCATAGTTGACCTGCCTACGGTTAGGGATGGGTTTTGTTTTATGCTAAAAAGGCAAGTTGCTTTTACATTTACCGTTTTCATTTGGATTTTAATTTTAATAATTCTATAAAAAGGGAAGAACCATTCACCAGAACCAGTCCCTACCCATAACTCTAGATGGGTTGCCAGTGACCTGGTAGGTGTTAAGAAGTTAAAGATGCAAAATTCAACCAGGTTTTCAACATGTTCAGTAGAATCTGTTAAATGGAGGGCTTCTTTCTTTTGCCCAGAGTATGGAGCAAATAGCCCCGGTGGTTACATCATATAAGATTCCTGCTATATGGACTCCACCCTGCAGTGCTGTTCCCTTTGCAACAGCATGTATGCCTGTGCGTGAGATGTGTTCAATGGCATACATCGAATAAAATGTGTAAACGCCCAGTATCGTGTCTCTGCTCTGATTTATCTCCTTTATTAGAACCAAGTCCTGTGTCACCCTACCCGTGTCGGGGGTTTAAATGACAACTATGGTTCCTGTTTGGAAGCAGGAGAGGAAAACAAGTTTTTCTCTGCCTCCATCATGATTCGATGATTATTCAACAAAGCACTACTTATCTAAGGGCAAATTTGGCAGCTGGTGTGCCTTCGTAAACCTAAACAGTTTCAGTTGATAGTGATCATGACTGTGATTAAAGATGCCTGTCGAACCTCTGCAGTCAATCAAATGACTTCCTGTTCTGTTCAGACGGTTTTTATTTAATAAAAACAAAAACAAAACAAAAGCAATCCCCCGTCTCCATTTCCATTTCGTTTTTTTTCCCCTCTCGAGTTTTCTCTGTTTTTAATTCTCCTCTTGCCCCCCCCCCTCCCCTTTTGCAACACTCCAGGGTCACCATCTGCATGGCAACACTCGCAGCGTGACACTTCCATAACCCAGGAGGAGGAAAAGAAGCACAGAGCGTGGACCTCTCTCTTTTTCTCTCTTTTTCTATTCATAGGCCACCCGTAATTCATTAGCTCTCCCTCTCATCCTCTCTATATTTTCTCTCTGCAGTGTGACCGATGCAGGCTTCTGAAAGCTTGTTCGGATATTTTCTGGAATGAAGCTGCTGACAGTCAATTTTTTTTTTTGCGCTGCTATACAGCATGTTTTAAATTTAACCTTTCTCCATACTAAACCTCATTCATAAAAGGCAGTTTTTTGTGGGTTTTTTTTAATGTGGGGCAATAGAAATTTCCCTTTGGGAACACTAAAGTACACTGCATTTCACACACCATGTAAACCAATATGTAATCATTCTGCTGCGTTTATTGGTTTATCATTAACTTTTAAAGTTAATTTTTCAAAATAAATGCCAAAGTAAATTGAGAAAATATCCATCTACAAGACGAATAATGATTTCCTTTACAGATAGCCTCTGGTGTTGCACAGTTTCAGTCTGACCTATTGGCGTGACCCCTGCAAAACCAAACTCGCACTATGCTCGGTCAGTTTTGTTTTTGGCCTCTGGTTATGCGTTGTCTCTATTTTTTTACTTTTTCTTTTTCTTTTGCTTTGCTTCGCTTCAAGCATCCATCAGTCACACACACAAAGAGATTATCTCCTTTTTTCCTGATTTCCACCAGGCAGAGTGCCAATGTTTTTCTTTCCTTCACTGACTCTCACCTCTCAGCCCTCCTCCCCCTATTTTCCTCCCTCCCTCCCGCTCTCCTCTTCCAGCTTAGCTTTTCTTTTTGGTGCGAGGGAAGGCTGTTTATTTATTCAGACAAGATCTATTCCCCCCCCCCCCCCCCCCTCACCTCCCCCCATCCTCCAGCCTTTCTCTCTTTTTCCTTTCACTCCCTGATCACCTTCCTCTTTCCCCCCTGGTTATGTACTTGTAGAGTATCACTATGAGAGGGAGAAGGGGGGAGAAAAAAAGGGAGAGCGGGTGAAATCTGCCGTGGAGGTGGAAGAGAAATTTTTAAAAAGAGAATAAAAAAAGGAAGGATGTAAAAAGGAAAGGTGGAGGAGGGAGTGTGCTCTGTACTTCCTGTGTCTCTTAAGCCATACGGAATAAAGACAGTTGTATGTCAGTGGGGGAAACACTCATACTGGTTTAAAGCTTCTTTATGGGCCCAGCCACAGTGCACATGGCAGCAGTACCTTTGAGAATAAGACTATAACAAAGTACAGCAGTAAAATACAGCCAGAGGGAATGATTAGTGTACGTGTGCAAGAGAGAGAGGAGAGAGAGTGGAGAGAGAGAGAGAGAGAGAGAAGAGTAGAGAGAGAGAGAGAGAGAGAGAGAGAGTTGGCAACAGAAGGAGAGAATGAAAGAAAGACATGAAGAAAGAAAGCCATGCTCCAGGTGGTGCATTATTAAACAGATTTGTCACTTAGAGCCAGTGGTGTTAAGTGTGTGTGCGCGCGCGTGCATGTCCGAGGCAGTTAAAGATATAAACATATATGGACTTAAAAAAACATGGAAATTTATCTTTTAAAAAGAAAAAAAAAAGTAAAAACGAAAAAGAAAAACGGTGGACAGACAAAAAACTAATCAAAGAAAAAGAAACGGACAGAAATGAAGAACAAAAGAAAGAAAAACAACAGCAAAAGGAAAAAACAGGAAGGAAGAAAAGAAACGGCTTTGAATTTGTTCGACATTTTTGATTTACACATGCACGTTACCTCATACTCAGTGATTATATGGTGACTTTATGAACACACACACACACACACACACACGCACACACACACACACACTCAGGAGAACATGACATTGATTTAAATCAATTTATCCTCAGGCCTAACTTCTTCCTGACAAAACCCAAGCCTCCTCTTTGCCAAGGCTTCACCCTAAAATTTAAGCAGTTATGCGACTGTGCTAAAAATGCGTGTCCCCACAACATGAGTAACACAAGTACAAACACACAGTCATGTGAGGTGTGTGTTACAGTTGCGTTTTAAATCCCTGCGGCTGCTGTTGACTAAGCTGATCTTTGTTGCAGGGGGGAAAAAAGAAAAAGAAGCAGCTACTGCATATGCTGTGACAGGCAACAACACTTGTTTTAGTCAAAAATAACATTAAAGAGACAGACAATGTCCTCTCTGTGTGTGTGTTTGTGTGTGTGTGTGTGTGTGTGTGTGTGTGTGTGTGTGTGTAAGCCTGCGGTAGGTAATCTTACTTTTGGAAGAAATCAAACAAAACGAATGCTGAAGCCGACAACTGCAAAGGACAGGACGGGAACAGAGAGTCCGTGCACACACACACACACACACACACACACACTGTAGCCTGTGAGCACGCTGTTCAAAAGGCTGTAAATGATGCAGGGTTGCAACTGAAATATAAACTTCTAAAAGGCCAAAAAAAAGTGCTCAGGTTTTTGACTTTGATGGCAGGAGGAGGCGCGGGAACGACTCCCGAACACTTTGATATGCAGCACATTGTACAATTTGTGCATTTTATCCCTCCGTCTCCTCTGATACACATACACAGAAACTGTACTTTAACAACAAATGCGCTGAAACTTCACATTCGCACACATTTATCCTTTTAACATTTCAGGATTTTACTGCCGAACCTAAAGAAATCTATTATTACTTCTAGTATAACTAACAGCTAAATCTATAGAATTTGCAATATACGGTAATACTCTCTGTATGCAAATCAATTAAACTATCGCTGTCAAATAAATTCTAAATAGAGAAAAACAGTATTTATCACTGATGGGTAGCACAGTATCTTAATTTATTACACTTAAGGAGCAGTGAGATCTGCGCTAATGCAAATCCCATATTGTGAAAAGCTGTATGTTTAAAATATCCCTTCATATCAGAGATGGAAAAGAATTACTGATATCCAACTCTTTATAAAATGCAGTCTTCTCCATAACAAACACCTGCCCTGGAGGAGTCTTGCCTCCTCGTTCCATTGTTATTCCCTCCTCTCTTTCCTAATTCCTAGTCTCTCCTGCTCCTCTGTAGCTTTTCTAGTCCTCTTCTCTCCCTCTGTCATCTTCCCTCTGTCTCTTTTGTGTTTTGTGACGCACTCTTTTTGCTCAGCTATATAATTATCTCTTGCTGATTCCAGGGGCTGGTTCGGAGAAACTCAGCCCTCCCTTTCATTCTCCTTCAGCCCGCCCCGTACGCCTCCGTCACTCAGACGCTGAGTGCTGTATTGTTCTTCTCCGCTACAAAGGCTTGACAGACAGCTGTGAGACACAGAGAGTGGATTCTGAGTCTGCCCCGCATCCCACCGACCCTCCCGTCTGCTGCCATCACTTTCATTTAAACTTGTCACTTTTCCTTGTATCAGTGTGATGGTTGGAGTGCATCGTTAGGCACACGCACACACACGAATTAGAAAAAAGTCTAGACAGCAGTATTTAATGAGCAAACACACGGTGCATTTTAAACAAATGGTGACTAAACTTTTATTTTCTTTTTTTAAAATTTGCCCTCTCTCATTAATATCACTCGTCCCGCATCTGACTTCCATCCCTCCTTCAAATCGAACAAGCCTCAGCGCCACCTGAGGAGCTGCAGTGCTCGCCGGAACCTTTCGAGGTCTTTCCTCTGAGCTGATCTTTGTCAGAAGCCGAGGCGAACGCCTTGAAGACAGCTTGTTAAGATTCCACATGAGCGAATCCATGTCATTATTCAACATGCATCAAATGCAACCGTAAACACTGGGGTTTGGGGAGCAAATCGGAACAGAAGCTTCCCTCGTCTCAATGGAAAAATTTCAAAGACGATTAAATAAGCCAACAAACGCAGCGATGGAAAGATAGGGAGGGAGATGGCTGGAAGGAGTTCAGCCCGATTTTGTATTTTGATTCAGATTCCAACATCAGCAAATTAGCTGTGTATGACTCTCACGATGAAGTGATGCCTGCCTCGATGAGCATAATGACTTCGGTGTCCCGTGACAAGCTTTTCTCCACCACAAAAAAGGATGAAATTCTGAGGTAAACGCTGGAAAACTTGCTTGAATTTAAAAGATAAAGACACGTCCTATCTGCTGCTCTGGTCTGGAAATATCAGAGGGCGCCTTTCCCCAGAAAAAACGGTTTTCGCTCTAACCCTTCAGTTAAAACCAGTGTAATCCTGAATGTAGGAAAGGTCCAACGTCCAGATAAAGCAGCAATACACACTCTCTCATGCCGCAGTCACACACACTATCAGAGGGGATTTAAAGATTCAAGCAGTGGTCTTGGTAATTAGGCGGATGGATTTGCGCCTCTCCTCACAGTCCGGCGGGATATAAAGCGACACATAATGCAAGCGGACAAACTCTTTAAGTGGATTAATTAAAACCAACACTGCGGGGTCAAAGGTCAAGCCCCCTTTCTCTGTCAACCTCCCGTACTCTCGCCTTCCAGCCTCCCTCGGAGCGCACTCGGACTGCGGGACCTGCATACGGATTTAAATGAGTGGATGAAAAAGGTCCCCGATGAGACGGAGCAGTGAAGGAATGATGGTGGAGATTTCTGGGTTTATTTTCGGTTTGAGGCTTTAACATGAAGCCTCGTTTTCATATTTGTGCTGAATACACATACTCGCTTTGCAACTTAACCCCTAGTTTGGCTGATTTATCTTTAACTTCCCGTCTCTGAATATGCGGCAATTTTTCATCCGCGTGGTAATAGAATAAAAACCTGAGCTCCCACTTTCCCCTCCCTAATTGAATACAGAGCACACCTCGTCTTTGACATGCTTGTGCGTGTGTGTGTGTGGTAGCTGGATGCAATCAGATGGAATTAATATGCATGCTGTTTCTCATTATGGAATAACTCAACTACACTTCAGATATGTGACGTGCACTGTGAGAGGCACGGGCTGATTTTCCAACCTCCATCCGTGATTCTCGAGCAGGAACAGAACTGTGTGACTGAATTCAGAGGAGCAGACACGCCCTTCTGATGATCGCACGCGTGAACACACATTTGTCACTTGCATTAACTTCATATTGCATTTAAACTAAAATCAGACTCGGCAGCAGCCGCATTAATCAGCCAATTCTGCTAATATGCATATGATGCTGCCTAATTGTGTTTCAGCAGTGAGATCTTTCTCATGTGTTTGGCTAGTTTGCTGTAACAAAATCTTTGAAACGACATTTATTGTTTTGGTTTTTGTTATTTGGCTTCTTAAATATTAACCGAGGATCGCTCAGTCGTCACTCAGGCAGAAATTGGGGTTTTAGCCTTGTGCTAAATTTTTAGGAAATGATATCCAAGTAAGCGCTCCTTATCACTTCCCTTTGTTTGAAGCAAAACACACACGTGCCGTCTTCACACTGCTGTGGTTACGGTATGAAGCGTGCGTGTCTGAGCGTGACGGAGGTGAGTCTCATTAGGGAGAAAACAGCGGCGAGAACGCTGCCGAGGTGCTTCATTATGGTACACGATTGAGAAGTACTTGTTTGTGTGTGTGTGTGTGTGTGCGTGTGTGCGTGCGTGAAGGACTGGCGGATGTAACTGTGCGTGTGTGTATGACTGTGACCCCGAGAGAGTGTGAGCGTCGGGCCCGGCGATAAGCTGGTCTTTATTAAGATGCATCGTCTTTGGAGAGAGGGACAGCTGCTCTTGCCTCTAATCTGGAAGAACAAAGGTTTAATAAAGAGAGAAGACAAGAGCCAGAGGGGAGGTAAATACTCCCGTCTCTTCTTGCTGTCCTTCCTAACACCATTTCGCTCTGCCTGCCTTTTCCTTGTTTCTCTTATACCGACTGATCCAACGCCAGCTAAACTAAACTGGTGCAGAGATTACTGTGCACAAGTTCGCCCATTTGAATCCCAAAACTTTCACCTTCTCGCTGACCTTTGGCTTCCCACCTGTTGAGCCAAAATGGCCGCTATGAGGCCAATATGCCGGTGGCTAAAACAAGCTAAAAGCGTCTTTTTTTTATGCTGCCACGAGAAGTGTCCCAGTTAAGCAAACAGTCTGAAAGGAGAGGAAGAGCGTGTCCATAGAGAAAGTGTCTGCTGTGGCTATTTCTGAGCAAGTATGAGTCTGTGCGCCAGGTCAACTGCATGCCCTATTTCTCAGCCTGAATGGTCATCACCGCCTGTTTGGAAATGACATCACTTGCCCCCCCTCCCAGTCCGTCAGCAGTTCACCGAAATATGCCTGCTCTACATTGCTCCGCTCATTTTCTATTTTGGATTTGTGGATTATGGTGGTGGGATGGAAGAGGTGGTGCGGGTGAGGGGATAAAAAAAATGATAAAAGAGAGGAGAGGCAGCATTAAAAGAATAATTTGAGGGTCCTGAGGGTTCTGTCTCCTCTCCTAGTCTCTAAAATAGAATCTGCGATAGTCCCGGCTGCTACCGCCGACTCTGTCGAGGGAATAATGACTTATTTATCAAATGGCTGAAATATTCAGGGACAAGGCCTTTTAAATTTCAGCATTTAAATTCATAGGCTTTTTCTGCTGAGATGCTTAATGACAGTGAATGTATTCAGTGTGATTTGCAGGTCCGAGACAGAGCCTAGTGTCCTGCCTATGAGCCTAATAGGTGTTTGACAGAAAAGGGGAGAGAGGGTTGCGTTTAAGGGCAAGGGAAGCCAAGAGAAGTTTAACCTTTGACCTCACGTGAGGCTCAAGTGTGTATCGTGGACCGCCTTCCGTGCCAAGAAGTAAACGGGCTGTGTTGCTGAAAACATGTTTTGCAGCAGTAGAGATAAAATTTAATGTTGTCTAAAGCGCGCTGGAGCAGGCAGGCAATCAGCCATGAGTAAATGTTTCAAGATAAATTCCTAGAGGGGTATACTATTTTTTCTGGCAAAGCGCGAGACTCCTCAGCGTTCAGAGGGACCACATCAGCAAGGGGGGGGCGGGGGCAAGGGAGGGGTGATAAATGGGTGTTATTCTTACTTCTAGGATGAAATGGAGGAAAGTTTGGGGATGACGGCTGGTGATGAAGCGCCGCGCGGGGCAGCAGCGGAGGTTAATGAGATGTACGTGGACACACGGCAGCTCGTACGCATCAGCCTCATGACAGAGCGCAGCAGAGGAGGAAGAGGAGCTCAGAAAGTGGCAAGAGCTCCGTATTCGCGGCACATTAAAGCCAAACGGCGCAAAGCGTGCGTAATTACGCACCGCAGCGCCACTGCCATGGTGAGAAGGCGGCGACCTCCCGCCTGCGCTGCGTCCCACCCTCATTCTCTCCAGAAAAAAAGAAAGAAAGAAAAGCAAAGACAGACACACACCGCACTCCTGTCTCCGTTTCCCCTCTCTGCTAGCGGACTGTCGAGGCTGTGGAGAAACTGGCCGGGCGCTTACCTTAACACGTTCCAGCTTTTCAGAGGGTCCAGGTCTGAAATTATAGAAACCATGGTCGACTGGCTGGGCAGCACCGGGAGAGGGAGGGGGTGCGGCTGAAAAAGATCGAAAGAAAAAGCGGCGCTAAGGCTGTAAACTCCGTCAGCGAATGACAGCGATTGCTCGGATGCAACCCGTCCTGGTTGTTCAGTGGGTGATGAGCGCTGTCACAGCTCTCTCTCTCGTTCTCGCTCTCTCTCTCTTTCTCTCTCTCTCTCTCTCGCTCTCTCTCTCTCCGCCCCCTCCTGTACAAAGCCTGCGCTCTGCAGACGCGTCTCCCGAGCTTCCTCGGGTTCCTCTCTCGCAGACAGGCGGGCTTCTGCTGGAAATGCTGGAGATGTACAGCAGAGGAGGGTAAATCCTACCTGAGAAACTCATTTATTCATTTTCATCTTCAAACAGTACACAAGGACAAGCTGGAGTTTATACACCTCATTTTCACTGTCAAGTGTTCTCACTGAAAACTACTTTTTGGTGTTAAACCTCTGAGGATGGATTTTATATCGATGGGAACGACGTGTTCAATTTTACATGCTTGAGTTTTATGAGGCAAATATGAGAGAAATAACCTGCTGTTTTCACTGAGAACCAGTTAGATCATCAAAAGAAAAGAAAGAAGCAAAGAAAACACTTTATGCAAGAATAACATACCACAGTTTAACATGCCTGGATATTCCTGCTATAACTGCACAGGACACTTATCAAACCTGAAATTATAGAAAGGCCATTAAATTAACTATATTTGCCAATTTTTACTTGATCATTTTTAATGTTAGAGAGATAAAGAAACAACGTGTGGTTTGATGCATTATCCATAGAGAATTGTTGGGTGAAATGTTGCAATGAAGTATTCGACACAAGCCTGCAAAGCATGGCTGCGATGATCTCTGCACACTCCTGTGAGCACTGACTTCCTGTCTGACACCACCACATCCTGTTGATAACTGTTTTTTCTCTTTTTTTCGCTACCCCTCCCCTCCACTTGACATGGCAGCAGATGCGTCATCTATGGCAAAGACTGACAGGGCAATGGCCAAGTCCCACCTCTTCTGGGCTCCTATCTGTTTGCTCATTGGGGGGAAGAGAGAAAAAAAACAGATGAGATCTGAAGGGACAAAAAAAGAAAAAGAAAAAGAAGAAGAGACAGAAGTGTTTCAGATAATGGTCTGGGACAACAGAACAGAGTGAGACTGAAAGTCTGCAAAAACTACTGTAGCTCCTGCACAAGCTGTTTGTTTTCTTCAGATTCATGATATTTGTCACACAACAGTCACTTTGACAGGAAACTGCCACCATTTCATTTTAGATTGTTTAAAAAAACTTTTGAATGAGACATTTCTTTCAGTTTAATCAGCTTTTTAAAAAACCCTTTTAGTTGTCCAACAAGACTGTTTAAACCTTCTGTAATCAGATGGGATCCATCATCTAAAGTTGAAGCCCCTTCACCCCCCAAGTTCCTAAAATTGAGGTCGTAAGGTTTCCCGTCGTAATAATGAACTAGGAGGTAATTTCCAGAGCACAAATACTCATTTACATGCAAGCAAACAAGGAATTGAAGGTTGGAGTCGAGTACATTGTAGGTAAGACATAACAGTAATGCAATGCTACAGCCCGGTGCTCTCAGCATCAGCAGCCATACTGCATTGGCTTTAAATAGACTCAATTGGACATCTGCTTCACAGAGGAAGGAGAGGAGGAGGATGGAGAGAGCTGACAGCATCGCGCTCCTCTTCCTCTGTCTCTATTTCTGTCGCGTGCTCATATAGAAACTGATGCTCGCACACAGCAGACACAGCATAGTTCTCCATTTCTGCATGGAAATCACGTCGGCAAGCACCATATTTACCAGAGTGGCCGTTGGTGTCGTTGTCAATGCCTGCATAACATTGACTGTTGAATTTAAATAATTGAATTTACAATTCTTTAAAGCTTATTTCAAACGTTTCTGGTGATGACATGATAGCCAAGTGGTCTGGGTGCATAGGCCTTGAGCAGCAAATCTCTGGCTTACGTTAGTCTCCTCCTTTGCCCGTCAGTTTCCTGTTTCTCTCTCTCTCTGTCAGCTTTTGCTATCAAGTCAAAGTCTGAAATGCCAAAAAGAAAAATGCAAGTTTGACTTTGAGTTTCCACATTTTCTTTCTTTGTAAAGCTTAAAAAACCCAAACAAACAAACAAAAAACACCTTATGTCTGTGTGTTTACTACTCTAATACAATCGATTGATTTGTGAACTTCATTATGAGCCATGAGAGCCATTATTTTCTTTCAGTTTTGTTTTGATAAAATACAATTGCTGTTACAAAAAATTGAATTGGTGATCATTAAAAGAAATGTTTCGCTTTCAAAAAACTCAGTTCTGCCTGGCTGACTTTGGTCAAA